CTTCGAGTACGTCTTAGTCATTCGGTCAGATATCCTGAGCTACAGTGCGTTACTCCTGTTGCTCGACACTCGTTGGGCCTCTCGCTCAGTCTGTCTGTACCTCTCCAGCCTGTGCTGTCTTCGGCTGCCGTAGCAGACTTCGCCTCACAATCCTTCCTCCTGGTTCTCCCTTTGCTTTTCCGTTCGCCATTCATCGCAGTTTGCCAGCGGCATCGCCACCTATGCGGGGCGAGCGTAGGTCTGGTTGAGAGCCCACAGTTTAGAATTGTTTGTGGTAGTTTGATTCGCGTCTGCGCGCACCCATTGCTGTCCAGGTTCTTGCGGCTCGCCGTTGCTCCAGCAGCTGCCAGGACTAGATGAAAGCAGCTCCGCAGTCGCCGACTAATTCTGCTCTACCGATCGCGCAGCCAGTCTCCCAAGACGGCACCCAAAAAAGACCAGCCGTTTCCAAGAGAACCCAACCGATAGATTCCCAAAGCACGCACGCGAGGCTTCTGCTTTAGATGCAATTCTTCCACGTCCTTCTCCTCGTGCTCCTCGTCCCTCCTCTCCGTGTCGTTATCATCCTGCTCGTCAGAGGCCGCTTACCCAAAGGAGCTTGCGTGGGGCTCCGTCTTCTTTCGCAGCGCACCAGAAGTCGCGTGGACCCGCGCCGATTGTGCTGAACACAGCAGTGGTGCTCCAGCAGTGGTGCGAGGCGGTATGGTCTGGCGCGGTGGCAGCAAGGGCATTGCAGGCGGCACTGGGGTTTGGTCAGTGGAAGCTCCCGGCTTCGAAGATCTTTTGGTGGTTGCCCCGTCCTTTAGATGACGTCTTGGTCTTCACGCTCGACCGCGTAGGTCGGAAGGTGGTCAGCAGCGCAGTCGTCCAGACCGACACGGCTGAGCAATACTCACCACCCACCAAACCACCCCAACCCAACCCGAAGGCCTCAATTTGCACTCCATTTCCAGTGGGGGGGGGGTCGGGGAACGTCGAGAAAACACATACGGAACCCGTGCCCCCCCCAACCCGAAATTCGGGTTTTCGGGTTGGGTTGGGGTGGTCTGGTTGGTAGTCAATTAATACGATCTCCATCGCACCTCGCCGCGACAGCTCAGGACCCCGGTGGCGGCCGCTGCCGCGCCGGGCCTCCTCGAGCATGCCCCTCTGCTGGGTCGTGTCGGGCGTCGCGGCCGCGGCCGCAGTGGACGAGGCAGGTGGGCCGGACCATCCTGCTACCCTCGTCAAAATTAACCTCAACAGTTGCTGGCACGTCATTTCGATTTCGGCGCGCCCCTCAATGTCGACACGCCGCCCCTTCAATGTCGGGGCGAGGGCAAAGATAGTCTGACCGAACTTGACTCGAAAGTGGAGCGTGAGAAGCGCAGAAAGGTTGTCCGAGGCATCATGCCTTCACCGGCCCCTCTGCTGCTCCCCGGTGGAGCCCGCCGGCTTGATTTCGTGGGTCCACCGCCCAGCCGATGGACTACTGCATGGACCGTTGCTCACAGACGGCAGCGCGTTCAACATGGAGAGGCCTGCATTGGCCCGCGGTGGCTGGGCGGTCATCCAAGTCGACCGGTTCGGGCGCATGGTTTCTGTGGCGCACCCTGCTTCTTAGAAGGCGCGGGCCTCGTCTTCTGATGTAGGGCCGGTGCCTTGTAAGAAGCAGCCTCCTTCTAAGATGCGTTCCCCCTCCCCCTACCCCCGTGTTAGCGCCGCCAGCACGTGTACAGACGGAGAGGATTTCGCCATCTTCGTGCTCTGCAACCTCGGCTGGCCAGGCACCCGCGGCGTTTGCATCGGCTGCCGGGGCACCGCCGCAGCGCTGCAGTGCACCAGACCAGGGCGGGTGCCCGGCACCAGGGCCAGCGACATCAGCTGTGGGGACTGCGGGGACACTTCTGGGCCTCCTGGATGGGGTCGGAGCAGATGGGGACGGAGAATCGCGCCGCATCGCCGATGCAGCGCCGGTGCGGCTCGAGATGCAGCCCGACTTGGAATCCACTGCCCTTCTGTTGCGAGGCAGTTGTATAGCCTGAGGAGGTACAGAGGGCACGGTGTTTACACAGTTTGGAGGAATTCGTGAATTCAGTAGGTGTTGGGATTGACATGCATCGAAGAATTCACGCCCACAGGAATCGCAATCATGTGGTATATCTGCGGACCGCTGACAGTTTGCTTTCCGTCGTCGTTTTCCTCTTTGCCCCCATCTCCTTTCTCTATCCCCTGGATGGTGTCGAAGGCGGCCGCGGTTCCAGCGGAAGGGCGCCCCTTTTCTCTCCCCCTCATTTTTCGTTTCTCCTCTTTGCACCCCTGCTCCAACATCCGTCGCCTCAGTTTGTCCTCCCTCTTTGCTCCAAGAAAGGCACGTGATTGGGCCGCGCGCCCGCGTTCGCATTGCATTGTCCGTTCGATATCGGGGCACAGCGAAACAGCAACGTAGAGGGCGTGGCCGGGGCAAAAGGTCGGGGCGCACTCCAAGCGCGGGCGGCGCCGGCCGCCAAACACAGTCGTAGCGCTAGCACGTGAAGTTGTTGGTGCCTGCGGCAAGGCCCGCCACCGTGCCAGCGCAGCGGTCCGAACGGCGACGCTTCGAGCTATGCTTGTTCAGACGTCTGGGGCATGTGACACCTGTCATGTGGTCGGAGTGGTGCCCGCCCCTTCTGGGGGGGTCCCTCGGGGCCCTCTTGGGGCGTCTTGGGGTCGTTGGGGGCAGCCTTGGTGCCGCATTGCACGGTGGCCGCCTTGGGCCCAGAATCTATGTACTTGCAGTCGTTGGGGACCGCCTTGGGCGAGGGACGCGTGTATTCGCAATCCCCCCAGCTAGGGATGTCGACTTCGGTTCTGGTTTGGCAAAGTAGGGGTACCTTCGAGGTGGCGAGCGCTTACTTTTCCAAATACACAGATCAAGGTGTGATCTGTGTACACAGCTCGTGTCTTCAACTGTGTAACTGCGCGCGTGGGTCTACCGTTTACACATATCGTGGTGTGATCTGTGTGCGCAGATCGCGCCCCCATCTGTATATTTGGAGTGTGCTCGTCGCGGGTCGTGGTGACTGGGCGGGAAGTTTTGCGTTTCTATCGGTTTGTTTTCGGGGGGGCTTTCCGCGCGGGCAAAATACACAGCTCGCGTGTCCAAGTGTGCACGCGCTGCGCGCTACCAGCTGGAGCGGCGCCTGGGTGGGAGTTTCCACCGATATCCTTGCTGGCCACGGAAGGGGCCGTGGTTTGGAAAAGCAAAGGCGCGGGTGCTTGGGGGTGATGCGCGATTGGAGAGACAGGGCGCGAGAAAAGGGGTGGCGACAGGGCCGGGGGATGAAAAGGGAAGGAGGGGAGGGGAGGATATGGGCCCATGAACAAAACTGCAGCGTCGGTACCAGCATCACGAGGACGAGGACAGCGGGGGGGGCTGACGGAGGTGGGATGAACTGCGCATGGCCGTAGGAGAAGGGGGGGGGGGCGAGGGTGCAGACGGGGGGGGCGCGTCGGGCGGAAAAGGGCAAGGAGGAACGCCGCGCAGTAGCGGAAGGGGACAGGGCAATGACGAGGAGGGGGAGGGACATGAGGAGGGGGGGAATCGGATGGGCACGAGGAGGATGGGGCGAAAAGGGCATGGGGAGGAGGAGGAGGGGGTGGTGCATGAGGGTGGGGCGGGCGCGAGCTAACGCTCATCTGGGCGGTGTTTTGCGTGCCCGTGCAACGCCGTAGAACAGGAGTGGCGGCTGCATAGCAAGGTTGTCAGGGTCGTCGCGCGCGGCGTGCGTCCAGGCCAAACTCTCGAGTCCACGACGCCCCTCTGCGTCGCGTTGGTGCCGCCCGTCTTCGCCAGACCGCGCATGCACACATAGGCTGGATCAGTGTTTCAAGGTTTGCTTCATGGCCCCCTCTTTACTAACAGACCAACGCTGGAATCCAAAACCCGGCTTGCGTCGCGTCGCGTCGATGCATCTCCAACGTCGACGATGCATCGACGATGCATCGACGATGTACCGCCGATGTATCGGCGATGCGGTGCGATCCTCCGACCCTATATGTTCCGACCCCACCTGGTTGGCCTCTAACAACACAACCCATGACGATCCCCAACTCACTTTAGCCTTGACCGCCCGCCCGCCCGCTCGCCCGCCCGCCCGCCCGCCCGCCCGCCCGACCGCCCGCCCGCCCGCCCGCCCGCCCGCCCGCCCGCCCGCCCGCCCGCCCGCCCGCCCGCCCGCCCGCCCGCCCGCCCGCCACCGCCCGCCCGCCCGCCCGCCCGCCGCCGCCCGCCCGCCCGCCCGCCCGCCCGCCCGCCCCCCCGCCCGCCCGCCCGCCCGCCCGCCCGCCCGCCCGCCCGCACGCACGCACAGCACGCACGCACGCACGCACGCCACGCACGCACGCACGCACGCACGCACGCACGCACGCACGCACTCGCACGCACGCACGCACGCACGCACGCACGCACGCACGCACGCACGCAGCAACGCGCGCGCGCGCACGCACGCACGCACGCACGCACGCACGCACGCACGCACGCACGCACGCACGCACGCACGCACGCACGCACCACGCACGCACGCACGCACGCACGCACGCACGCACGCACGCACGCACGCAGCGCACGCGCACGCACGCACGCGCACGCACGCCACGCACGCACGCACGCACGCACGCGCGCACGCGCACGCACGCACGCACGCAGCGCACGCACGCGCGCACGCGCACGCACGCACGCGCGCGCACGCACGCACGCACGCACGCGCACGCACGCACGCACGCACGCACGCACGCACGCACGCACGCACGCACGCACGCACGCGGATACAAAGGATGATTCGATCCACAACGCTATAGAGCACAATCGCGGCATGGCACATCGCAGTTCAGCACGGCGCAGCACAGCGCAGCCTTTGGCACTTTACATTGATCATAAAGATCGATACACAGCAATAAGTTCCCCGTCGCCCAATCAGGTGTCTTAAACACGTTGCCATGCCTTGCGCTTCTGTATTATTTTCCGGGTTGTTGGGGCGATCATGTCTTCTCCTAGCAAAGGCGCTCTGCAACACGCGGTAGAGACAGACACGACATCTGGTGAGAGGGAGGTCGACGTTGTTGAGCTCGTGTTTGCCCAGCTTGATTTTTTGTCTGACCTAGAACAGGCGTGTCCCGGTGGGCGTGCTGTTGGCGTCTTCTCCGAAGAGGAGGCGGCAGGGCACGGTTTCCCCGCAGCGACTGCTGAGACTGGTGGCGTCACAGCTTCCAGTGTCGACACGCCGACACCAATCGGAGTGCAGGTGCGCCGCGGGGGGGGGCGCGGAAGGACTCCTCGCTCTCCTCGTCCTGAGTGCTCGCCTTCTCGTTGCCCCTCAGTGGCATGCCTGGCGTGCCGCAGTGCTTAGGCCTCCGGTCTGGGGCATCGCCCCATCTTGCGATGAGGCGGCCGACGCGGCCTTCGGGAAGTGCGCTTGCTTATAGTTTCGCGGGCTCCCCAACGTGGCTGTTGGCGTCTTCTCCGAGAAGGAGGCGGCAGGGCACGGTTTCCCCGCAGCGACTGCTGAGAGTGGTGGCGTCACAGCTTCCAGTGTCGACACGCCGACACCAATCGGAGTGCAGGTGCGCCGCGGGGGGGGGCGCGGAAGAACTCCTCGCTCTCCTTGTCCTGAGTGCTCGCCTTCTCGTTGCCCCTCAGTGGCATGCCTGGCGTGCCGTAGTGCTTAGGCCTCCGGTCTGGGGCATCGCCCCAACTTGCGATGAGGCGGCCGACGCGGCCTTCGGGAAGTGCGCTTGCTCATAGTTTCGCGGGTTCCCCAACGTGGGGCTCAGAACCGGGGTATCGATCGAGCTTCGACGCTCTCTGTTCCGTACCGTCTAGCCGATTCTTATCCCCATCCCCATCCCCAGCATCCCACCACCTCAGTTGGGGATATGCTCCTCGAATCCCGAAAGGAACAGCCTATATTATCCCAGCTATGGGGGTACATCCGCCAGTGGGGTCCAGGCCACGCCAGCGGGGATAGGGATCGGTTGAACGATGCTCAATTGTTTTGGCCTTATACGAGGCTCTCGGTGAGGGTACTGGCATGAAAAGTCCCTCGTTGGGGGCACTGCTCCGAGCATAAGGGGCACAAGTTTGTGAAACCACCTATGCCCAGTGAGCTTGTGGGATTCCGAATTGGAGCACGGCTGGATGGGTGGGGGGGAAGTAAGGGGGAGGAAAGTGAGAAGGAGAAAGCGAGGGGGGGAAGTGAGAAGGAGAAAGCCTTCTCAGGAGGTGGCGGGGCTTCTCAGAAGGCCTCTGGCCTTCTGAGAGGGGTTTTCTCTGTCTTCGGGGAATGAATGAATGAATGAATGAATGAATGAAGCCGCGTGTCCGTAGGCCCATGAGCAATGGCACGGGCGTGCGCTAGACAGCATATTGTAGTGGCCTTCGGCCAGTGCCGCCGATCCGGGTCGCTCGGATACACATATTACGCGGACACCTCACGCACGCACACGACCAAATGCACATACGGCAGACACACATACAGAGACACACTAGGCGCACGCCAGACACTAGCACGCACAGACATTCGCAGACACGCACCACACACAGACACTCGCACAGGAGCCTGTCAGGGCGTCGAGGGGCTTCTTGGGGGCTTTTTTTGGGGGCCCTCTTGGCGGCTCTTGGGGCCTCCTGGGGGCCTCGTGGGCTGGAAGGCTAGATTTTTTCCGCTTGGGATCTGTTCAACGATACTCGTGCCGCCGATGGCAAACGCCCATCGCTGCGTGCCCGACTGGGCCCCGCTTTTGCTCCAGAGGGCCAACACATCCGAGGCGGGAGCGTGGCCTCCGCCACCGCCGCTGGAGGGTTGGGCACCACACGTTGGAGTGAGGACCCTGGCATGAAGTCGGGCCTGTGCCTCTAAAGTCAGAGTGGTTCGGGGGTGGACAGAACCCCCAACAGTGACACGTCGACTAGTGAATTGTCCGTTTTCGGCTCTCGAGAGGGCACCGCGGCTGCTGTTTTCCAGGCTTGCGCCCGCCAGGTTTGGGCCTCAGGTCGTTTTTACTAAACCACGTTTTGCTAAAGGGAGGTCTGTCCATCCCCGAGTGGTGGCCCTGGCACCGAGTGACGGCATCCAGGCGCGCAGGCGGCCGTCGCAAGAGCTGGCAGCTCTTCCGACCGACCCTTGGCTCCTCCCCGAGATGCCTGGCCGTGGAGGAAAAAAAGGAGAGCTGGGCCCCCGGAAGCGACAGGGCTCTTTCGACCGACCCTGGGCTCCTCCCCGACGCTTCGCCGTGGAGGAACAAAAAGGAGAGAGCTGGGCCCCGGAAGCCACAGGGCCGTTGTTTCTTACCGGTTCCGTTCTGCCGCGTTTTTGTTGCCGCTTCCGACGCCGTTTTTGTTGCCGGTGCCGTCGCCGTGTTGTGACCGGTTTCGGCTCGGGTTCCAATCCTGGAGCCGTTTGTTTGCCGTTTCCGGTCGCCTTTTTTATTTGCCGTTTCCATTGTCAAGGGACTTTTTTTCGACACGGTGAAAAAACGGCCCTGCCGTTTCCGGGGCCCACAAAGAGATGGCATGCTTTTAGGGTTCAGGGTTCCAGGATGTGGCCGTTAGGAGGCGGTGTGATCCCACTCCCTTCCGAGGCCGAGTGGTTGGCCTGTGGGATCCTGTGGGGTCTTGCCCGTGGGCGTGGCCCGCTGGAAGGCCTTGGCATCTGGCATGCTAGTCCTAGACGGCGGATTTTGAGTGGCACTTAAGCAGGACATGTGTGCGCGTTTGCGTTTTTCCCCCGTCCTGACGGAGGAGTGCCTGTTCAGCATTCCTTTTTGGGGGAGTCTGGAGAGGAGGGCCCCCTCGAAATCTGGCCCCAGCTGCAGGCGGAACGCCAGCGGAAGACGGCCATCCACGGTGGCACGCGGCTTCAGGCGTCACGGGCAGCCTCAGGAGGTCCCAAGATAGTCGCAGATTGTCCAAGATTGTTTTCAGTCCGTTTCCGAGAGGGTCACGAGGACCTCGAGATGGCCGACGATGGTTTCTAGATGGCCTGCGAGGCTCCAGAGGCGGTCCCGAGACATCCCCCAAGGGTGCCTCATGAATCGAATTCGTTGAGGCTCCAAAGGTTCGCCAAACAGTGCTTGCACTTAGGGGTTTTCATTTCTCCCCTTAGCAGATGGGCTGTGTCTTCGCTCTGGTGGCTATGGTTCCGCCGTCGTCGCCCGTCGTTGTCCCTATCGTTGTGTTGGCGGCCAGCTACGTTCCCACCGTCGCTGCCCGTGCATTGCTAGCCCGTGCTACGCCTTGCGATTGCATCGCCCTGCGCTGTTCTCGTCCTTTGGCAGTGCTCTGCGTTGCTTGCTCCACATAGAGCACGCCGCATACATTTCGGAAGCCGGGCAAGGGCTGCTAAATCCGTGGCTGCTGAAATCGACGTCCGGAAAGTTGTCTTCGTCCTTCCGGGAAGAAGCCCGTTGACTGTTTCGCGTGCTGCGCCTCATTCCGGGAAGTTGTTTTTTTCTTCGGGAGGGCCGTTGTAGCAGCCACGGTTTTAGCAGCCTTCGCCCAGCTTCCGAACATCGTACGACATTGGTTGCACCACTTCGGCTTTCTGTTTCTCATAAAAGGATTCCGATCTACCCCCGCCCCCCCTGCATGATTTGTACCCTCGCCCCCCCTGGATGTCGGGCCATGGGAGGCGATACTCGTTCGACATTGTCGGTATTACTCTGGGTGCTCAAATGTATGTGCGGGATGTGGTCTTTCAGTGCGATGGGAGCAACATAGCCCCGGAGGCCTGATTGTTCACAAGGATATTGGGCATGCCGCGGCCGCTGCCGTCGACGCGGGGAGGTCCATGCCGTGGAGGCGGGAGGCCAACGTTGCCGCGGCCCGCTTCTAGCCAACGTCGGCGCTCGCGTGCACGCGTGCACCGCGAGCAGAAAAAAAAAGGTCCATCCGTGGAACGAATTCGAGGAGCTGGCTCGCGAGAGACGAAACTATACAGTGGAGCAGAGCTACATGCACCACTTCCACTTTTGCGCTTCGGCGTTCAGGCGTCCCCGCCGTGATCTTCAAGGGCCGCGCCACTGCGCGAACTGCAGCGTCCGTCCGTCCGTCCGTCTGAAGGGCCAACCTCGACCGAGACGCCTCTCAATTCCCCCGCAGCTCTTATACGCTTGAAACCCCATGCTCCTGCATTCCGTGTCGACACTATCTTCAGGCCGCCTGCAAGCTGGAGCCACGGCGATTGCGATTTCAGCCAATTGTTCGGCGTCGTTGGTTACGCGAACAAACAATTCAAACATGGGCACTATTGCGGGCCGCCGCCGCGCGCGACATTTTTCGGCGAAGCTGAGCAGCGCTAGCGCGACGATTTTTCGCAGCGCACCGCAGCGCTCAACAACCATCATAATTCCCACCTCGAGTTCCAACCGTGGCGACAGCATGGGGGGCAACAGCGAGTAGATCGGGATCTGCGCTTCCACCCTGAGGGTCAACTCCGGGCCGCCCACGAAGCAATAGGGGGCCACGCCACGAGTTACGACGGCCACGATCGGAACAGGTGGTTTCGAGCGTTGGAGGAACCACACATGGACGGCCCAGTGAACGAATGACCACGCCGACAAGTATTGGAAGTGGACCTACCACGGGAAGGGAAACAGCAACGGCGGCAAGGGAAGCGACGCGAAGAACGACCACAACGCCAACAAGCAGAACCAAGAGGGCAACAAGAACACCAAGGGCAACGGCACGGCAAATCCTTAACCCGAACGAAGAATAACACCCGAAACGACGGACGCGGCGACTCAGGCCGACAAGGACTACATCACCGATGCCATCAACAGACCCATGCCAGTTAGGAAAAAATGCGCAGACATGATTGGGCGTCGCCACCAGACGGCCCTCAGCTCATAGAGGAATGGAACACGATCAAGTACATCGAGCAGAGGCGCGCCGCAACAACCATCGCGAAGAACGCCGCGGCAGGCTTGCCCACGACCGGCGCGTTCACGCTGATCGCTTTCAACAGAAGCCATCATGCTCAACGGCATGCCCGTGGTCCAACAAGCCAGGAAAATGAACCACGCCAAGAGGGTCGTGCAGGATTTCTACGAAGGCAGCAGTACCCGCCAGCACCACATGCAAATGTACAGGACGGAGCTGGATAACAAACTCGAGGAGCTCACCGTCTTGCAGATCGACGTCGGAATCGTAAGGGGCGACATTTGCAGCGAAACAGGGGCTGCCGACGGAGCTGGCAATCCACAAAAGGATAAAACGTCGATGCGAACACCTACGCCAGCACCACGGAGACAGAGAAAGGCTGGCGAAACCAACGAGGGACAGGACATCGGCACGCTGCTCGAGACGCCCAAGGAGAACAACTGCCGCATGGCAGCAGGTATCACAAATAATAGGGGGGAACCAACGAGATCTACTCAGGGGGCACCTCCGAGAAGCGGATGGGGGGGGCCCCGCGAGCGCGCAGATAATCGCCACAACGAAGCAGCACATGCCATGCATCACCACGCAGAGCTCACGCGCGAGACCCAGGGGAGCCAAGCTCACAACCCAGAGAACGTGGCTCGCAATGAGTTTCTACAAGGAAGAAGCTCGGCAGCACACAAGAGGACAGGGGAAGAGTTCCACGCTGTCAGGCATTTTCCAATGTCCGCCTCTCCAACGAGATGGCCGCCCAGCTGCAGGGGGGGGCTCAGAGAAACTCGACAAAGACTCATCGACCACTGCGCGGACCGCGACGCCGTGGAATAACAATTGCTGGGGTCGTAAAGGAGCGTCGCAGAAAGCAA